ATTATTATTTTTATAGCACCAAAAAAAAAGTTATAATGAAAGCAGAAAATGGGGAAAAATATGTTTTCTTTGCATGTAGTAGCTGAAAAAGAGTTTGAAGAAATTACATCATACAAGATGTAATTCTTTCTTGAAACTTATTTTTGTTGTAATTTGAGACACATACTTTTTGGTTCGAACCTAGTTTTCTTTCTTTCCTATATTACATTTTACAAAACAAAACGTTAAATACAAAAGTTTCATTTTTTTAGAATTACATTACTACTGTTACTTGCAATAAGTTATGTGCTATAATAATGCAGCCCTAAAAGCAGCTGTAAAGAATACACTATATTTTCAATAGATTCTCGTTTCTTTTCTTTATCGACTAAATAGATTCACCTTATTTCYCTTGACTTGTTTGAATTGTAAAACATTTAAATTGTGCTTAACAATTTGTTTTCCTAAATTTGCGAAGAATAAARAATCTAATTATAGCAAAATTATGGAACAAGCTTTGTATTACTCTAACTTGTGAACTGACCCTGTGTACTTTACTTCTATCTTTGTTCCATATTTTCCAGACACAATTTTTTATACCTATTTTCCTTTAGATTACTTTGTAGAAATCGATCATTTTTTACGATATTAATGCCGCCAAATTTTCTAGGCAGATGTATACTTTTTTTAACGGTTTTGGTATAATAGACACCACTTAAATATACAAATTTAATGATGAAATGAAAAAGTAGCATAGTAAGCAGAATGAACACCTGCACGATTTGCATTTAGATATTTCCTTTTCCTTTCCGTTAGAAGAAATAACCTAGTAAAGTATTTCGTACTTTCATAAATTCAGTCGCCAAATTAGTATTTTATTTTGTCTAAAAAGTATTTTCCATGTAATTTCAATTATTCCTTTTATTTTTAAATTTAATTATAATAACCGTTTAATTACGCGATGTTTAATCTACAGTAAAACCGCATAAAAAAAATCCATTCCATGAAAATCACTGTTTCTAAAAATTTTGCTTATATTTCCTAAGTATGTACTTTATTTCCTTAATAAATTATTATTCATTTTTAATTCAATTTTAAAGGCAAATAATATGGCTTGCTGTGTTTACACATTTTTACTTTCTAACAATTTTATTTGTTATCTAAAGGGTTCTTCAAAATTGAAACTTTAATTCCTATCTTATACATGTTGCAATGGAACACAAAGTTTGCTTTATTATTTGTTACAATACCTAAATCACATTTTAAATTGTGCCTTAAATCTTTTCCATAACTTCACAAACTTAAAAATCGATCAAAATAATAAACGTAGGTTTTTTCAAACTTGATTTTTCCATTTTATAACGATATATCCATTATAATTTAATTAAGATACTTTCAAACGATACTGATAGAGCGTCTAATCTGAATTGGAACGACAAATCAAGAGGTTTTGCGGCGCTAATATTCACAAATTATAGGTGATTACATGACAATTAAAACGTAAACAGTTTACTGTTATCATTAAATTAGACTAGAAAATATAAGTTAATTGCATTTTTTAATGACTAATATGTAATTTGGATTCAAAACGTCTAACACGATTACTGAAACATGCCTAAAACCAACCCAAAAGTCAGTTTAGTTTATCGATTGGAGATACATTAAATCCGTTTGACATAACTTAAAAATAAAAATAATTTGATTAAGTTTGTTTTGGTTCTAAATTAAATGATAATTGTAATGTTTCAGATTTTCAAAACGGAAAATTGCGATATTTTTAGTAGCTGCTGCTGTGGTAATAGCATTGGCAGTAGGGTTGGTGTGGATATTTGCCATAAATAAGAGTGAAAAACTCAAGGGAGCAATTGTAACTAATGGACATGGTTGTTCGGATATTGGAAAGTAAGTAAATTAAAGTTGATAAGTAATTCATTGAGAATTGCCCAAAAAAATCATAGTGTACTTAATTAATTTACGCAACGAAAATAGAGATTTTGATGCGAGATTTCTGAACAGTCCTCAATCATGAATGACTTACTTTTTATATTGCAATCTTGCATATTTATTTGCTGCCATTTTTGTTATTGTAATTTTGTCGTTTTTTTCTACCAAGATTGGTGGATAAACTGGATTATTATTATAGTCGTAATTTTTAGTTCGAGATTAGATTTTCCTAAGAAATTTATATAGTGCAAAAAATAAAACATCAGTTCTTAGTCCCTTCTTTAGTTACGTTTTTGTAATTAAGCGCAGTTTCATATACACAAGATGTCTCCAAATCCTTTTGAAACACAATTTAGTACATTTTAGACTAAAACATTTTCTTGCATTGTTCAAATATTGAAATGTCTATATTTTCATACACACATGGTGGGTCAAAACTAGGGCTCGTAATCAAAATCGAATAATTCGAGTATTCGAATATTCAAAAAGCAATTATTTATTTTGTGTATTCGCATAAAATTGAGGCATGAAGAAGTCCGATGTGCCACACATGCTATGATTTCATTTGAAAATTTAGAAGAGGTGGCTGTGAAAAATCCTGTATATTTACATGGTTTTTGATCATCACATTGAAATCATGTACTTACAATTTCTTCACTAGTTGAATACTCGAATACTCGATTATAATAACTCGAATACTTATAATCGTATACGTTTTCGCAGTCTATTAAGCTGCCTACATTTTTCAGGTTTTCATTTTCTTGAATATTTATGAATTTATAAAAATATGAATGCCATCTTGTTTCATTAATTTTTAAAAAATGTAATGCTTTTTCAAATTTTACCTTGTATAAAAATAATACAGCTTGTAAAAATATAGGCTTGAGTATTGCAAAGCATTTACCTGCCGAAAGTACCTGTGGGTTCATATTAAATTTATAAACCCATAACAATTGTAATTATTTACCGATTTAGTAGTTAATGACTTTTAATTTGGCAGTTAACTTCCGTAAAAATTAATACAGTATACAGAATGTTTAAAACTTCGTATCGCTATCTAAATTACATAATATAATCAGAGCAATTTTTTTTGGGATGATCTCTACGTACACTTTATTCTTTGAAAAGATAATTCCCGTGGGTAAATAAGCGTCCATACAATTCAAGATCTTACAAATTAAACCAGTTGATGTATTGATTTGAGTAATTAAGTTAATTTTAAAAAATCTGATAACGTTTTCATATAACAATTTTGTTACGCATTTTTAGTTAATTACTAACAACCTAAACTCATTTTCAAAATTGTGTATTTTGATTCAGATTACTATTATTCAGTTTTAATCAATTTTACTAAAATAATAACATGGTCAAAATATCCGCAACGATATAAACAAACAAAATTAAATTTAAATAACCATTCTAATGTTAACTTAGCAGGTGCTGTTTATTGAACTTCTTGTATTCGAACGTTCTTAAACAAAAAAGTCACTTAGTTGCCTACACATTTTGAGAACGGCAAAGAAAACAATTATTTTTTTACGGGCAAACTAGTGGTCTTAGGAAAAAATAATAAGATATAAAGAACGTGGAAACTAATTTGTAGTAATTAAAAGGATTATGTTGACAAAAGTGCACACAAAAAAGTTCTGAACAAAACAAAAGTAGGGGTCCCACATTTCTACCCTCTATAAAAGTAAACTGAACTGCAAAACACTACCATAAAATGGCACTTAATTAACTTATAACGTATACCAAAATTGAAGTATCCATGTTTAACCGTTTTAAAGAAAAACAACAAAAACTAATATTCTCCGCCATTTTGGAATTCAAATATCTCATCAATGAGACTTGTATATCTGTACAATGAGACAAATAAAAAAAACAGGAAGACTCCCCTCTAAATGACTGGAACTTTAACAAGCTGTTAAAATATTTTAACATGTTTTAACTTTTCGGTATTTTTTTAAGGAAAATTGATATCTCAGTTCTACATGGAACAACAATTATTCGTTGCATATTGAATATACTGAGTTGGTAAAACTAAATCAGTACATTATCTGCATATTATAAAAACCACATAATTACTAAGTGACGTAAAACATTGCAATATTTCTTTAATCAAATCTCACATATTAAAAATATGAACGGACTGCAAAAATGGTGCAACGGAGATTCAATAGTTGATCAATTTCAAATTGATATTGAAACAACAGAACACTAAAACAGTCCTATTTATATCACGAATACCTTTTTTAGATCCATATTTGATCATGGAGGATCAGTAGCTGATGTGGCGATAGCCAGTCTGTTTTGCGAAGGAGTATCTCTACCCCAAAGTATGGGATTGGGTGGTGGATTTCTTTTAACCATCTATGACAGGGAGACCGGAATCGTAAAGTCGCTAAACGCACGAGAAAAAGCACCGAAAGCTGCAAATGAAACTATGTTTGATGGAAATCCATCATCATCCAAATTCGGTTTGTTCAATTAAACAATTTCTCTTTTGCTAGTTGGTTCAAGCAGTTTACTGTGAATGTAGATTGTGAAAAACCTTTTTACTGCAGAAAATATTTTAAATATATTTTTTTCACGTTGTGAGTGTGAAATGACGTTTTTTTCACTTACAAATGTGGTGTGGCAATTAATACGTGCATTTTGAAAAGCCATTTATTCGTTATGAGTTAAAGCATGTACTGCTTTGCTGTTTAAATATGATGAAAAATTACTAAAAAAATTAACTGCGCTAAAGTTGAAATATTTCCTGAAATCGATTTGGTTTCAATTTTTTGCCTGATAAATTATTACAATAGACGGCTTTTTATTGTTTTTTAATTGTTTTAAGTTTTACTTTTTGCGCATTTCGATAACAGTTTCTTTTAACTAAAATTTTACGCCATCCTGTACATAGGGTGTCCGAAAAATGTGCGACGAACATTTTGCGAGGTATTTCTAGAGCAAAAGTTAGTGGAACAAGTTCATTTTTCGAGAACACTTTTTCGAAAACTCAATAATAACTGATCTACAGGGCGTTATAATTTTTGCTCTATCTCGTGAAGTGTTGGTAGCACCATTTCCGAACACCCTATATACTTTAAAAGTTAGCTTTAAGAGTTCAAAACGTCGTGGCAAAAAAGAAGAATGAAATAAAATGTGCGAAAGGAAAAAAATCAATGGGAAAACCTATTTAGTTATTACACATTCACATACTATCAAATCATTTAACAATTAAAGTTAAAAATTCGACTTTGTATAAAAGGTTTAACTTTTTTGAAGGTGGACTAGCTGTGGCCGTACCAGGCGAACTAAAAGGTTACTGGTTCCTTTATAAACAATATGGGTATTTACCATGGGCAGACCTTATTCAACCCACCATAGATTTATGCAAAAACGGTATTTACGTCACGGAATTTTTAGCAAGAACTTACTTATCCAGGAAAGACACTTTATATGCTGATCCTGTTTTAAGGTACTTATTTAATATTGGAAAATGCTATATTTATATTAAAATTAACTGCATTGTTTGTTGTGGTTATTCAAGTAGCCATTTCCAAATCCCCAAAATTATTAATCTCTTTACGTTTAAAAAAACAAACACAAAACATTGTTTCCAAATTCAGTCTCCAAATGAGGAAAGTTGTTTTTAAGTGGTAGATAAATTTTTTGTTCGCATCTCCAAATACACAAAAATAAGGATAATGGGCTGATTCTACAGATTTCCGTTAAATTATTTTAACCAAAGCCATATTTTAAAAATTCAAGAATTATTCCGTAGAAATTATGTTTTCATGATATAGTTGCTTTCACTGGGTAACTTCAAGCCTAAATTAAATTATCTGAGTTATTAGACAAACAACAGTAGCAGGAAAAGACGTAACTAGCGAACCCTTTTTTCTGTTAATAATTCATAAAACAAAATATGTTGTATCATTGTACGAATCTCCAGACCTTAAATGGGCTTGTCATTAATAAAATTAAATAAAAGTAGTCAGTTTCACGCGCTAATGCCGAACAAACTAAAGACTACAACAAAAATTACATTTCTATACAAATGCTGGAATAGCAAATAACGTTTAAGTGTATTTGTGACAATAAATTTGATTACCCGCGTGATAATTCGTAATTGCGGTTTTTCATATTTGTTTAACACAAAATGTGCTAAACATGATAAATAATTGCAAACTTGAAATTATCCGGTTGGTTAACAAAGGTTGCAAACCGTAATTAAAAAAATAATTTATAGTAGTTACAGACTGGTAGAAATAAACATTATTTATCACTAAAATATTCTCAATTGGTCAATTTTAGAAACATCTTTATCATCATTAAGAAAACGTTCATTAGACTCTCGCATGCTTGTGGTATAGAATGACTATGTAAATAAAACATAATTAAACGACAACTATACTAGTACTACAAATACATGCAGTTTAAAATTGAAAAATTTGCAAATTGAATTGAAAATTATTTATATAACATTACATATATTTACTTTGTTGACTTAGTGGAGGAAACATTTAATTCATGAATAGTGATTTAATATCTAAACGAGTTCCCCCCTGGAAGTTAGTGTTAGAATGAATGTTATCATACCATTCCATTCATTTTCACGTTTGTAGTACCTACCAGTTTCTTGCTTTCGTCACTTTATTTTCTTCTTATTGAATTTTATACGATTTACTCACTCGAAATTGTTTTATTTTATAAACCGCTGATATAAAACTCCACTTTTTCTCAACACCTTGTACAGTACAAGTATTACGATCGCTAACAAACTCCAATTAATCATTATTAAATATTGCGAAATCATTTGTTTACAAACGTTAGACGCTGATATTGAAAACTGTTATTTTTCGCTAATTATGCTTGCATTGTCTCTTCTGCAAACACGTAGATTTTGTCTCGCTTGTATAACGAAGTTTTCCTCGGTTTGATCTTTTGACAACTGATAAACGTTTTGCTTTTAAAATTATCATATGAAGGTCGGGTAGTTTTGAATGTATGTGTGCTATTAGCAGAAGTACATTTGAAATTTGAAATATTCAACATTTTCATTAGCTGCAGTGCTAAAATATTTTTGGCCTTTAATTCAATTTTTTTTTACTGTCTTTTGAGTGTTCTAAACATCGACGTAGACAGATTTTCACTGGTTTTGAGTAGACTCTACAGAAATTGTTGTTTCTGCGTTTTCCATGTCGATATAGTATACATATGCTGATAAGTAAGTAAATAATAGCGAAATAGGAGCACTATTTATCAATCTGTAATAAAAGACGTGAGGAAGTTCTGTCTTTTTTAAAGACAAAAATTTTTGAGGCGAAATACCCAAGAAGAAGTTTGTAAAAAAATATAAATTTCATCCTTTTTCTTCAGGCACCAAGCCTTTCGAATATAGAGTTTTTGAAAAAACATCAACATTTAGAAATGTCTCTTGATTAATGGTTGCAAATTGATTAATCTCGAAGTTATATTATTTTCCTCTTGTTAGTACAAATCTATGGAATTCCATAATTTTAAATTCGTGTTCAGTCGATTATTTTTTGCTTAAAAAATTACCATTTTTATAGAAACCAATATTTTGGTTGTTTGTTATCCAATTTTTCACTTGTAATACACTTCTAAATCTGGTTATTTTTCTCAGTGTAAACCGAATGTTTTTTTTGTCCTTATTGTCTGTTTAAATCTGTCCAGTTTTAGTTATTCCTCTTGCTTTCCCCATTTGCGAATTTTTTTTCTGATGGTGGTGGACGAACATTTCCACTGCTCTGCTTCCATATTTTTGCATCACATTTAGTTTATACTTTATGTTATATGAAAGTTCATTTTTGTTTTGCGTTCATTTTTTCTACTTTTAAAATACAAAAATTAAATATTTATCAAAGTAATTCAAATGAATCGTGCAAGAGCGTTTACGAATACAGGCCAGGCCTAATAGTAGCTATTGACAGCATACAATAAAAAATATTTAAGTATAAGTAAATATTCTTTGGAGAGGGTGTAGGTAAATCTAAAATTCTCCAGCTTCTTCAGAAAACTTGCATAATAATTACTTTCAGTGGTGTGTCTTATTTTTTGGAGTATAAAACGAAGGTACCTCAAATCTAAAGACGATTTATTGACGAAAATATTTCAAAATTACTTTCGGACCATAAGGAGCAGCCAAAAAAAGTCCAGTTTTCTGTCTAAAAAAGTGCGACGAAAAAAGTCCGAAAATATGGATTTCTTTTTTCAAGTCTTTAGATTTTCCTTTCAAACAGCAACATGTCGTGTGGTCATTTTAAGATATTATCCATTAAATTATCCATCTAGAATAAACATACATAATTCAATATACGTTACAAACACTTAATAAAAAAATATCCTAAAATAAACAGGCGAAGAGGAAGCTTTCAGACTTGCGGTGATTCATTCAATTCTGCAAAATGCATACCTATGCATACATGGATTAAGAAAAGCAGCAATTAGAAAAATCGCCATTTTATTACTTTTAATGTAACATATACATCAAAATTATTAATTATTTACTCAAACGGAGAGTTTCACATGGTAGTCTAGATATGAATAGATTTCTGTTCAATTCAAATCAATTTCAGTTATTGCTCTTTGCACAATTTACTTCGACTTTGGGTACTTTTCGTTCATGATATTATAATATTAATTTATATAATGTATTTGCGTTTTGTTTAGGGATTCGTTTATTAATCCGGAAACAAATACTACCTATACAGAAGGGGAATACGTAAAAAGACTGAGATTAGCTAAAACATTGGAAATAATTGCCACAGAAGGAGTAGATGCACTTTATAGCAAAAATGGCTCATTAATTGATGGATTTGTCAAAGACATTCAGGATAATGGTGGAATCATCACTGCAGAAGATTTAATAGAATACGAGTGAGTAAACTAACTAATTACTAATTAATTAATTTATGTAATAAGAGTCGCTTTCATTATAAATAAACGTTTTTGTGTGTTTCATCAAACAGACTTTCAGAGATCATGTTTGATGATATTGTAATAACTCTTGCAGCCCTGAAGAATGCGACAATAAATCGCCGAAAGCTTGGTAGCTAAAAAACTTTGTCTTTTTTTGCACCATTACCCAGACCGAATCACCAAGAAAGAAAAGCCATCTTTCAATTAAACATTTTGGCACAATTTTTATTTAATGAAAAATATAATTGGAGCAAGTTTGCAGAAACAGGAGGCAAGAAACAAGATCTTATAGACATGTCCCAAAACCGATTTAGAAATTGGGAAATTTTGTTTTTTTGATTTCGTTATTTTACTTTGATATCTAAATTAGGCAACTTAATTTTTTACATGTCTATGTATATCAAGCTCAACCTACAGCAAAATGAATCTCCATTCACAAATTCTTGTTAATTGCTACCAGATGCAAAAATACAAAAACCTTTTTGATGAAAAATATTAACTTGTTAAAATATGTTTCACTTAATATAAAGTTAATAACAATAATAAAAAAATGACGAGCAAAAAAATAAATTCCAACCTTGCCGCCTTGTATTCTATTTTAATTCCCCAAATACTCAAGAAAAAATCCAAATCTCAAAATACTATAAATTGATTTGTTAAAAAAAAACGTTTTCCGACTAAATGCTTATTGGTTTGCTTGTCACTCAACTCTTTTTTTTATACTTCATCGAGAAAAATATTACACTTGCTGATTTTATTATTAATTTATTTTACCGACTGTTTTTACAGACCGTTGCTGTTTTATTTATAGTAAACGGCTGCAAACTCGTGAGTAGCTTTCACAGTTAAATTTCCACTAAAACTGTTGGTTGTATAAAAACAATAAAAAATCAGAAAAAATCATTCAACACTAAGGAATTTAATTTCAAAATATAGCAAGCAATAATATAAGAAAACTTATCACCACTTTTTGCAGCCGTAAAAATATGAGTTTTAAATCGTCGCCTAATTTTCCCTTTGGTACAAAATCAAATTTCCATTATTTTAACAATGCGAACCAATTTAAGTGTTAACCAAGTTATTTTATTAATTGTTAAATATCCCGAATAATCGGGAACTTTGATTCTTTTTAGACCTATTTGGCAAGAGCCAATTACCGCATCGATGAGTGATGGGCAAACCCTGTACACCACTCCTTTGCCAGGATCTGGCAGCGTTCTAACTTACATACTCCAGATCCTGGATGGTTTCATTGATTTGAATCATTTATACACAGGAGAAACTTTCCAAAGAATCGTCGAAGCATTCAAGTTTGGTTACGGAAGCAGAACCAATTTGGGCGACGACATGTACGAAAATGTAACGAGTGTGAGTAGAGGACAATAGAGTGCTGAGCCAATGAGCAGTTGGCATAATTTTTTATAGGTGGTAAATGATATGGTATCAAAATCCTATGCAGAACAAATAAGATCACTAATAAAGGATGACAGCACTAGCCAAAATAGGTCTTATTACGGTGCTTATAGTGACATAGTTGAAGATCATGGTACGGCTCATATTTCAATACTCGCTCCAAATGGGGACGCAATATCTGTTACAAGTACAATCAACTTAGTGTAAGTCATTAAAAATTGGTTCTAAGATATATTAGGGATAAGTGGACAATAATTGTCCGATATTATAGGTTGCCCACTACTCATAATTTTTTTGGGTGCAACATCTCCATGAATTAATTATTTAAAGCGACATTTTCTGGCTTCTTGATGCATTGAGATACATTTCTTAAACGTTAATTGAGCTGTTTCCTCAAAAACACTTAGGTATACATATTTGAAACGTCTTTAGTTCGGACATATGAGCTTTTTTGTGAAAAAACTGAGTTAAATTTAAAAAACCGTCTCTTATTTCTTTCATGTGTTTCAGATTCGGAGCGGGTTTTGCTTCAAATTCAACCGGGATTATTTTAAATGACGAAATGGACGACTTTTCCACTCCAAGCAGCACATCACCATCCCCGACCAATTTTATTAAACCCGGCAAACGGCCGTTATCTTCCATGGTTCCATCAATTATCTTAAAGGACAAAGACGTAGTCTTAGTTGCTGGAGCTGCAGGCGGCACCAAAATCACAACTGTTGTTGCTTCAGTAAGTTTTTATTTACTTTTTGAAGCAGGCAGGTACTTTAATTTAATTTTTTAAATTCACTTTCATTATCTTTATATGATGATTCGTCTTTATAACATTTCATCTCCTGTTTCCTGCCCTGCTTCAACAAGGCTGTTTCATTTTGGCGAAGAGTTTCTTGATAATTCTTGAAGCAGGTCACATTTTATGCGTTTGTGTGCTATTCTGTTTCGTTCTCGTTGGAAATTGTTTTCCCTTCGCTTCTCCACTCAAGTCAAAGTTTATTCCTTTAACGTTCCTAGTGATTGAAAAATAAATACAATTTTTTTTTATTTATGTTCCTGACTACGTGTAATTGTTATTATATTTTTTTCTTTCCTGGGTTTCAGTCAAAATGTGAAATAAAAAAGTTCATATCTTTTATTTCATATAACGTTTCGGCGGGATAACAGCGCCATCGTCAGATTAAAATTCAAAACAAACTACAAACACCAATTTACAATTAAAATATGTTGCCCAAAAATTATAATTTACAAAGCATTAAAAAATCCATTTGTTCTTAAGGAAAAAAGATTCTTTGGGAGAGCAAAACACGGGGTAAGTTTTCCAAATGTTTTGCTGTTGCCTCGCCGAAACGTGATATGAAATAAACGATATGAACATTTTTATTTCACATTTTAACTGAAACCCAGGCAAGAAGAAAAATATAACATATACAAATTCAGATTAATTTTTAGGACAAACATTTCAGTCTAATTCCGTTTTATACTTGTGAGATTAGATGGATTTTAATTTAATTTAATTCTATCAAATGCCATTTCTGTACCCACATGAAGCCTAAGCCTTTATAATTTCATATTAATTATGAGAAGTTCTCAACGATTTCAATTAATTTGTTTCACAAATATGTACACTTAATGTGAACCTTTTTTATCGAATAACTATAATTGATATCAAATTTTAATAATATGTCTATCGCAAACCTTATTTATCATTTATATTTGCATTAATTAGATACAATAAAATCTAATTCATTTTGATGTCAGAGAAAGTTACGAAAGCAGTAAGTGAATTACCAGTCTAAGATCCTCTTATTCACATTTTAGTCTCTTTGTAGCTGTTTGTAGGCTAATCTTCTCAAAAAGTGGAATTGCAAACATAATTTTCAAATACAATTAATTAGATACTTGACTCTATTTATTGAACTAGAATTTAATTTTTATTAAGACTGTAAAGATATTGTATTTTATACGTTGTTATCCAACAACTGAAATGATCATTTTGTGTTAAATCTGTGATTAGCAGATTTAAAGTAATCTCCTAATTTACAGTTGGCCCGCTTTTATTAAGCCTGCTTTTTAAGAGATAATTTGAGCAAGTCTGGAAACAATCAATTAGTTAAAAATATATATTTATGTAATGCACACTTTAATGTGTAATTATTGATATAAATAGGAACTAACTAACTAAATAGTTTTGTCAACATAATTTGCTTGCTGCAACATTAATTATTTTCGTTGATTTTGAGTGAGCAAAGTGAACATTGCATTGCATTTATTGTATTTGTTCGAAGACCGAAAAAATCACGTATAGAACTTTATTTTGTGAACTAAATATTACTTAAATCAAAACAAATTTTACATCGTCGCAATTTGCATTTAAAAATTTGCAGCATAAACATTGAAATAATCATGCCTAGGAATTGTTTCAATTTTCTATTTTTATAGAGTTTTTTAAAATTGTATGTACACTTTACACATATATCTACATGTATCTACATTAAGCCTGTAATTAGTGAGAATATCAGATTTTTGTTGTTAATGCGGTTGAAAGGTCTTCGGTACCAAACCAAAAGTTAGAATTAAGAGAAAACAGTTTAGTTTTCATCACATAAAGAAATGAGATTATTTATCAGATTACTTAATAACGTGAGTCAACGTTTTAGATAAAACCAAATAATTTTTAATTCAGATTTAAAGCTCTCTTGCAATTGATATTTTCCAAATATTTATCAAATAATATATGTCTAAATACATGCTTCAAAAATGTTTTAAATTTAATGCGATTAGAGAACCCCTGCAGAATTTTACTTACTGCCAATGAAATATGCAGCTAATTTCACCAACTGGGGAATTTAATGCAGGGTTTTTTTGAAAAAAAAGCATTAAATTAATATCATATACATAGAAGCTAATCGTTTACATAAACTACCCATTTTTCTTAACGAAATTACTTCCTTTTGCTATTAAAACTTGGATTATTTTCTGTTTAAGCATATATGCAAAGCCTATAAATATAATTTATTTTAATCGATCGTTTCAGGTCATACTCAAACATCTTTGGTATAATGTGGACCTTAATGAGGCCATAACAGAGAAAAGAGTGCACCATCAACTCTCTCCCATGACTGTCGAATTTGAGGAAGGCTTTGACGAAGTGGTAAATATAACTCAATATTAGCTTGAACTAATGTAAACAACATTTTTCTCTTTAGTATCCAGATATTGTGAAAAAATTGACAGAAATTGGTCACGAAACCAAGTTCACTCCGACTTCGGATGGGTTTTCGGCAGTCACAGCGGTCACCAAGAAAAACAATACATTACAAGGGGCTTTTGATGACCGAAGGGGCGGCTATGTAACATTTGTTGAACGATAAATACACTTACTATTGAATAATCGAACCAACAAGTTGTAACAAACAAGTTACAACAATCTAAGTGTAAACATCGTGAATGGTGAGTGGAACAACGATTCAAACGATTGAAACAAATAAAAAATAATGAGATAGAAGCACCAACCAAATTAAGTCAATTTATTCTACACTGAGCACTGAGACGATATTTTCTATACTATTCTACTGGTGCTGAATTTACTAGGATTTAATCCAAAATTGTTGCAACTAAATTTGAAACCCTTTACCTTTCGTTTTATTAATTTACTCTAGAATGACGAAGAAAAAGGATTTTAGTAAGTCGACGCAATTTTTAGTTCAGCTAGATATACTGATTACAAGTAATTTTGGATATATTTCAGATATTTGCCTTGATTGAAGGCAATTAGAATTATTAATATTAAGAAAATGGCTTGGGGTATTGTAATAAAGTAATCCACAGTCACCTATACAGTGCGAGTAAGACTAGACCGCAATTTTTCACACTAGTTGTTAAATTAGTTCCTAAAACACTGGCTTGGCGATCAGCTCAATGCTGCTATTGATTATAAAGCATAAAATATTTATATAAAATAATTATCTATGCGCAAGCGATATGCACTGGATATAAAAGTGTCAAATTGTAATGTTGTTTCGGATTTACATTATTTTTTCTTGCATCGTCTCGTTCTTGTAACGTAGCACAAAAACCCTACTGTTCGCTGCTTTGTTTACATTTAGCAAATTTATTTTATCATTTATAGTTTTAATAAACTCGTGATATTTATTTATTAGAAGAAATAGTTAGTTATTTACCAAGTTAGTAAACTTTAAGCTAAACATAATTTTAAATATATTTTAGAATTAGAGCGAGATTGACGCTTGTTAGGTTTAGAGTCGTGGCTTTATTTAAAATGATTCATACTATTTTCCTATTATGTGTAATTTTAGTAACAAGAGCTACATCTAATTCTATATTAAGCACAAATCGATTTTATGAAAGAATTGTTACATTATCTTAATAAGTGTTTTTGAAATGCGTAATTTGAACCACGTGAATCACTGAAAACATCAGCAAATATTAAAAAATATTGAACCAACTGTGTGTTATTGTTCTTTTGAAATTTTTCGTAGATTGTGGGTTTAGGTGTTATTTCAAATAATTGATGCACAATTATTTACGAGAACTGGGATTATTTTGGAGCTCATGATACTTTGCTTATAATCCCTGACCTACTTATTTTATCATAATCCGTATTTTTCTTAAATATGAATTGCGACCTTATTTGCTTCCAAATGAGTTTAGAATAAAATTCTTAAACAAAACTTTTGCGGAAATTGGGACAAAATGGAAGATGATTTGTAATATTGGGATATAATTGTAAGGAAGGAATATCAATCTCACTTCAGAAATGAGATTCGAGAGATATTTTGAAAAAATAATGGATGACTATTTTGCTCATCAAGTTTTTAAGCTGTTTGCATTTCTACACGTTACACAAAATCTGTTTAATGTTGAAAAATCATTTAAATTACAATATTGACTAATTCAATTTTTTTGGAAATACATACAGGGTGTCCAGAAATTTGCGTGCACAATTTTACCATCATAAAGTGGATTTTAACAACATGCTGATAAAAGCCACAATGTTCCCTCATAAGAAAATAAACAAACCTGGGCATCCAACGGCCAGTAGACGGAAATACAGATCATTTTCTGGTAAACGCCAAATTCCGAATCAGAATATTGAGTCAGAAAAACCCAAAAACTAACCAAACCACACGATAAAACATAGAGAAACTACATAATCCAGCAGAACCACAAAAAATAGGAACATAAACTCATAGAGAATGAAAATCGCACATTGGATGTTGAAGGTTTGTGGAACTTTATTGAACAAACGATAAAAAAGACAGCAGAAAGAATCATCGGGACAACCAAAAAGAAAACGACCAAATCATGGTTTAGTGAAGAGTGCCAACAAAAACTGCAAGAGAGAAACTTTTAGAAAAGCCATCATTCATCACGATACACCTGAAAACCGAGGAAAAATAAACAAACTCTCTCTCTCGTAAAGAAACCAGGAAGTTTATAAAACGAAGAAAAACAAGAATATGAACATCAAAAATACGAGATGATCGAAAGAAACAGGTCTAAACCAGCTCCCGGGAATTCTATAGGGCAAAAAACAAAAAACGAGGATATTAGCCCAGGTCGGTACCAATGTTGGAAAACGATAATGGAGGCATGACAATCAACGAAAACGAACAGTTGGAAACATGGAAAAACTACTTCGAAAAGCTGCTAAATATAGAATCCGATGAAAAACACACTGAAAATACATAACGCACAGCAGATCTCTTTGTAGCAGCACCATCCATAGAAGAAATTCGAAAGGCTCATCGAATAACATACCATCAGAACTATTAAAGTACGGAGGTGAATCGTTATACAGACAATTACGCCAACTAATTATTTTGACCTGGAAAGGGGACAAAACCAACGAAGTGCTCAAACTACAGGAAAAACTCACTCATCAATACGTCCTACAAAGGCCTCGCCAATATTGTTCTGGATAGACTGACTCCATACTCAGAGGGCGTTCTGGAGGAATATCAGGCATGTTTCAGGAAATTTAGATCCACTATTGACCAACTTTTTGCACTCAGACTTTAAAGGATGGGAGTTCAACCGTACTGTCCATGATCCATTGATACATTTTCGGCAAACATACGACAGCATTGAAAGATCCCAAGTGTGGAATGTAATGACCGAATTCGCAATCCCAAGAAAACTCATTCAGATGACGAAGGCATGTATGGAAGACGGAAAACCCAGAGTGCAAATAAATAACAATCTCTGAGATGTATTGGTACTCTTATAGGTATATCGCCCTAGAAAAAGCTACGAGGTCAGCAGAAATTCAAACAGAACTCATGACTGCGCGAGGCCCGAAATTATTGTTAGCATATGCAGATGGCATGGGCATTATTGGAGACTCCATACCCACAGTAAAAGGTATCTTTAATCGCATAGGAAAGGCTGCAAGAGACTGAATATTAACGAGGAAAAGACAAAATATATGTGCATAAACAGACAGGGACGCAGAGATAGAATAGGGCAGAATGTAACATTAGAGACTTGCAATTAACAATGTCACAGAGGAAATAAAATGCAGAATTCAAGCCGGGAATCGATGTCTGTTTTCTCTAACCAACTTTTTAAAGTCCTAGAGGGCCCGAAGAACTTCAAAGTTGAGAGTTTATAAAAGCATTATAAGGCCAATAATCGCTTAGGATGCGAGATATGGACAATGGCTAAGGCTAATAAAGACAAACTTAGGCGTTCCGAAAAAAAATTGTTAGAAACATTTTTGGTCCCCACCACGACCCCACGCTAGAGATACAAAGACAACACCAAAGGAGATCTCACAAGAATTAATACCCCTCTGAACCCGAATCTTTTGGAGGACCGGGAGGCCTGGAGGAGCATATTGCAGTCAGCCAAGACCCAGCCTGGGTTGTAGAGCTACCTTGTATTGTAAAGTAGATTTTATCTTTATATGAATCATGAATTCACAAATGCTCCGTTTCCGAAATACCCAGAAGTTTGTTTTCTTTCTCTTTTTGGAGACATTTAAAAAAATGATTCTGCCATAAGATATGCTCAATAAGGTAACTTCAGATTTTTTGCCAGTGTGAAACAGACACTTCGTGGGATTTTATTCCCTCCATTACCAATGTCGAGCAAAAAAATTAGAAATGCCTAAACTCAGACCAACCAACTTGAGCATCAATATAAAAATATATACCGCAAGTTGATATGAGGAATCATTTCGGTTGATGAATATGAAAGTGGCAAAATTGATATTTTTTCACTCACATAATTGAAAAGGTAATAAGTACCTATTATTTAAAATACGTTTTCACATATGATAGTTTCCTATGTTTTTCTATTTTTCTTAAATCGGAAAATCCAAGACTGTATAAAATAAAGATGTTTTCACGACTTGAGGAAAACTGCGATATTTTAAACATTTTCTTACATAGTACTACAGCTACTAACGTCCTTTATTTGCTGCATGGTATGTTCATGCGAATCAATGTCTTTGCCGATAAAGCTGAATTAAGTGTATCTTGCAAGTTTTACAGAAGTTGTGGTATAAAATGCTCAGTAAAAACTTTCTGAGCTTTTCTAATTTATTCGAGCATCTACATCCTCTGAATATTAGTAGAGTATAACAATTGTGAAAATTGACTTGGAGCAAATAAGTCTATTTCTATACAGAATATTGTCAGAAATACTAGAAATGGTTTGAGAAGAACAATCCATTTTAATTGTATTTTATTTTTGTTCTATTTAACATTCTGAATCAATTTCGATCAATAAACATTATGTCCATACTCACTCTCGAAATGGTATAAGCGGATGCCATTGTAACAAAAAGGTACAATTTTAGCAAGGTCGCACTTCCCTGATAAAGGTCTACTAAGGTTTCAGTAGATGATTAGACAAGGTTTTAAAGACGACTTTTGTTGTGAAATATTCATTTAAAACAACTAAATATAAAACTGAAAGTTTAGTATTCAACAAACAGACACTGTGCACTTTCAGCGCCGTACGAAAATTCTGATCTGAGTTACAGTTTTCATACTAAACTGTTTGAAGCATCAAGCCTTGGAATGTTGAGAAGCCTCTATTGAGGCTTTCATCATATCGACTCTTTTCAACAATTTTATTTAATATTTACCTTGCTTGTCATGTTTAAACTTGATAGGCTTTACATTTCCTGGATAATATTTTATTAGTGCCCGAATTTAACTTCGAGTCTTATAGATAGATAGATATGTAATCTACTTATCAAAATTTTTTAAAATTTTTGGGCTCAATGGACATATTAGATTAAATTGTTTTGCCATTCTCATCAGGTGTTGATAAGTGAGACCAAGATGTGCATTTTGTGTAAATGGAGATAATAAAGTTAATCGTTCTATGTAAGCACTAGGATGGGGCGGGCACTGGTAAGTAGGTACTCTTTTTTTAATTATTTGGCATTTGGAACAAAAATATATATTTTCTTTCGTTCCTTGTAGTTTTAACGCAAATTTTTCGCGATTATTTGCATGTAGAATGTGTTTTGTATTTCTAGTAGATCATGGCAAAACCAAGCACTTTCATTAATGTCTAGTTGAAAACAAAAATATTTTACAATCTTTTTATTTTAAATCTCTTATGTTGCAATTATCAAGTATAAGTTGGCTTTCCAGTTTTTATTTTATAGTCCGCCGACGTATCAAACGATAATCAATTCGGTTATTTTTTAAAGCCTATTTCAAGGCAACATGGAAAATTATTTCGCTAGAAACCGCTTTAACATAGAAAAACCTTACAATAATGAATGAGGGCAGAAAGACCGATTGGGTCGATAGCCTTTTTCTGTAGGAAATAAAGATTATTTATGTATATATAATGAATGATGCATGTCTAAAAATGCAATATGATATGTATAAAGTACAGGGTGGATCAGGTACAGTACAAATATATCATTGGGTTTTTGAAAGTGATAAGAAGCAAAGGGAAGATCGAAACTGCTTGTGCGTTGTAGAAAACGTACAAAAAAAGGAAAATCTTCAAAACTTCAAATTTTAGTTTCCTCTAGGTTAATTTTAAAAGATACAAAGTCAGTTCAATAACGGTATATTTGCGAAAGCAGAGAATGTAACGAAAATCACTAGATTGTTCTACTAACTAAATAATATTGAAATTGCCTCTTTTATTTTAATACCAGATAACCGTAGGTAAAAACTTAAATGAAAATATGTTCCAAATCGGCAAGTGGTAACAAAAATTATTATTTAAAATAATGGTCCAAATTGCCATTAGTAAGTACTTAAACAATACTTATCTTTTACATATGGCTTTTCATCTGTGAATCGCATTCTTATTAAAAAGCAAGAGTAATATTTTTACATGCTTTGTAGTTAGTTATACATTTCTTCCACATTTTTTATTTTTCACTCTCCAAGATATTTTTTTGGAAGTTCTTTATCGACTTAGATTAATTGAGTTTCACTTATTTTTAAATTAATAAAAAATATGTTAGCCGCGGCCACCTCTCAAAATCAGACTCAAATGACTACATCGTGATTTGCCAACAGTATTTGAAATGTGAATAAATTTATACATGCAGGAAACGTCGGAAAGACTTCAAGAAAATGATAATTTATACTGAAACTGTATAATTCGGGCACTGGCCATGTGCATTTTTCCAAAGTTTTCAACAGACTGTTTTTCGATATATAAAACAGTTTTATAGGTACTCCTACACAGATAAATGTAAATGAGAGTTTGTCTGAAAAATACACACTTTCCTGTGACATCAATATTACGGCCCATGAGAAATTAAAATTTCAAAAATAATAAATAATGATGCTGAATTATAATCCATACCAATCTAAAAGAAACTGACGAGTTCTTTACAAACTTTAAAAACACAAACCGAAATTAGAAAACTAAATTTGATACTATTTCATACTTTTAATTATCAAAACAAAAAATTAATTGAAAATACATTTCATTTTATAAAACTGCCTGCTCCAAATGGTCAAATTAAGGAATTCCAATTCCATTCCAATGTCGAAAATGTAAAAAACTACATGGTCGCATAACTAACACAAAGCTGAAGAAAATATTTGCGGAAAAAGCTGGATAAAACTAAACTTTTTTAAATAGTTTCTAGTTTCAAATAAATGCGAACTGATTTTTCAATCACTTTTCATTAGGAATGATTTCAACATTTGTTTTTTTTTTATTTGAATTTTTTTTAGTCACCTTATTCGTAAAACAAACGTAGACAACTTGAGAAATATCTGAACAAAATAAGTCAAATCTGAAAAAATAAAAATTATCTGAAAACTCAGCAGGCTATATCACTTAAGTAAAATCGAGTTATCTCGGCAACTATCTTAGATTATGTTGTTCACACAGAGATACTTGTTCACTAATAAACAATTTTTCTTGCAGATTGCGCAAAATCCAATACCTGTTCTAAACACTTCAGACTCTCATAAGCATGCACTTTTCGATTTTTTAAATATAATTTGATAAGATATCAAAATATGAAATTGATTTTCCTAAAATGCCTTGCATTCAATTAACTCATGTGTATGAAAAATTTTTCTATAAAAACGTATTAGCAAATAAATGTGAAATTTTCGCTGTTTTTGCAAAATAGCTCATATATACCATATGAAACAAAAGCTAGATATCTATTTTACAATAGATCTCCATATAGGTACAAATGTTGAGTATTACTTTGTGTCTATTGTATTCTTAATTGGGAGAATATCGAAAAATATAATTATATTTTCCATTTGTACGCCCATAATAATTGCATTGTTTTCATGCAATCATGCCACTTAGTGCACTTTAGGAATTTTAATGCTGCGTTAATAAATGTAATTTCGTTGTAGGAAAACCGTGTATATCGTAGAGTTCCTCCAGCAGCATACGCATTATTTGGTATAAGTATCGGATTTATTATAGGAATGATCCTGTTCAGACAGGTAGATACAAATATTACATCATTTTTCAGGTAATTATTAATGCTAATCTATACGGATATGCAATTTTCAAATCAATGTCATTGTAATCAAGCAAACTGATATATCAGTAATACTATAATCATGTTTAGTTATCAGAAATGTTTTATATATTTTTAGTTCGAAACCTTATCTTTCTAATTGAAGATTTCACAAATCATACTAGATGATAGATAGATGCATCTACTTCAGATGATAGTTCAATGCTTTAACTATTTAATTTAAATACACGCAAAAACACCCTTGAAAATATATTAAAACGCCTAAAATCTTTACAGAATACACATTAATGAATAACATTAAATTACATGCAATAGTATTTGCATATATTGAGCTATTCACGTGCTAATTGCGACGTAGAATGGGTAGAAGTCGAAGGATTTTCCACGCTTAAAAAACTGCAGTCGAAACATGAGAATGGCCAGTTGCTTCCAAACTAGTAACAATATTTCATAAAAATGTACAGTATCCTTTTTGCACGTTAAGCCACTTCAACATGCATCTTTTACTCCCTTACTCTGAAAAACTGATTAATAAAAGATTATATTAATTCACAAATGAAAAGAAAACATGAGGGTGTTGTGAAACAAAACACAGCTAATGTCGATGGTGCTTTTATGAGACCTTCTATACAGGGTTATTCACGCTATACG